ACGTGGGCTCTATCATGAAGGGCGGCGCTGTGGCCCTCGACAGCCGCATAGAGCCCGGAGATATGATACTACAGGTGAATGACGTGAACTTCGAGGACATGTCCAACGACGACGCCGTACGGGTGCTCCGCGAGGCCGTTCAAAAGCCCGGCGCAATCAAACTGGTGGTGGCCAAGTGCTGGGACCCCAACCCCAAGGGCTACTTCACAATACCCCGTACCGAACCCGTCAGACCGATAGATCCGGGCGCGTGGGTCGCCCATACGGAGGCCGCGCGGGCCAATCAATTCAGTGGTAATCAATCAATTTGTTTGTTGTTTTTTGTTTTGCATATTTATTTTGTTGTTATAATTTATTGCGAAAATATGTGTTAATGTGTTTTATGTCTGTATTTATTACATCTCTGTCTCTCTCGCTCTCACAGAACAAGACTATCCGCTGAGACCGCCCTCTGTCTCGACACTGACCTCCACCTCGTCGTCGATCACGACATCCATACCGGAAACGGAGCGCCAATTGATAATGGATTCGGCGCACCTGTCGGTGGACATGGATATGATGACAATCGCCAAATCGATGGCTAATCTGGACTCAGGCCTGGAAGTGAAGGACCGAATGTGGCTTAAGATATTGATACCGAACGCGTTCATCGGTTCGGAAACAGTGGACTGGTTGTACCGTAACGTACAGGGCTTTCAGGACCGACGGGAGGCCCGCAAATACGCCAATCAAATGCTAAAACAGGGACTCATTAAGCATACGGTGAACAAGAGCTCCTTCTCCGAGCAGTGCTACTATGTGTTCAACGACTCGCTTCTGGAGCGAGACTTCGCCGCACTGAAGGTGAACGACGACGATCTGCCGCCGTCTTACATGTCGGCCGGCGCTCTCATACCTCAATACACGGGCAACTATGCGCCCGCATTCATGCACCCCTGGGGCTCAGGCGGTGAGATACACAACTACGGCATGTTTGGCGCCCAACCCTTCAACGGTATGGACGGCAGTATTCACAGCAATTCAGGTCTGAAAATACGGTTTTAAATTAAAATATTGTTTGTTTTTTATTAATATATGTTTGTTTTTGCGGTGATTAGTGTCGAGTGGGAACGGCATCGACGGTAATGGCATTCACGTCCGGCGCAACGACGTGGCGCTGATCGGCGAGCGCCAGAGCGCGAGTCCCGGCGCCAGCAGCGACTTCGACGACATGAGCCAACGCAGCGGACCGATACTGATCTCTTCGCTTCGGGAACAGAAACAAATGCAAACGTTTTGCAATCCATTACAACAGCACCCGACCAGTCGTCAGCTGATGATGAACGGCGAACTCATGCACAACAACGGCCATAACTCGCACCCACTTATGGGTGTAATGGGTGTGGGAGTTGGCAGTGGCGGTCCCGGCGACGACCGGCCCAGCGATCAGTCGTGCGTCGACTCACAGCACTCGGGCACCACCTCAACCACCACTAGGGATACGGAAAAGCAAATGGACGGCCAGGGATCTGATATCAATGGTAGTCGACAGTCATTTCGTATGGCAATGGGAAATCCATGTGAATTCTTTGTCGATGTCATGTAATGCCTGTCCCCCCTCTCACACCTCATCAACAACACACACACTCCCTGTCCTATATTAGTGCTCTTGCGGTTTACTGTGGGTCCCGTTCACAGCAATTGACATTTACTTGACATTTATGTCTGTTTTTTTCTCACTTTAATTTTTGAGATTCAAAATCAATTTAATAGTCAAAATCAATTGAATATAACGATCAAAATTAGGTTTATGTTAATCAGTGGTTGGGTTTGACTTGATTTGCGAAATTTACGATAATTTTTGTATTAGTTTTCTATAGTTTTCGCTTTAATTAAGGATTTTATTTATAAAATGAAATATTTTCGCAATTATTACTATTTCTAAGTTTCTATTGTTTAGTTAATTCACGAATAAATTTCTCAATAATTTGGTTGACTTTTTAATTGGTTTTAATGAGATTTTTTAAAAACTAATTATTAACTAGAGTTTTAATTATAATAAACGAGTTTTTAAACTCTTTATTAGCAAAATATATATAAAATATATTTATTACTTAAATATAATGTTAAATGAGAAGAGAAATACGTGCCTTAAATACAATCAAACCCTGTTTTTATGGCTAATCTAATGGTGAAAACAGTTATACGAATACATAACAAGCATTACATGACTACAAATTATTTATTATGAATGGAAATCCTATAGATATTTACAACAATTTTAATATAAAATATATATTTAATGATTTTTTTGTTTTTTTAATTTTCTCGGAGATTATGTTTTAATTATATATGATTTCACTTTCTTATGAATGCAATTATTTATTTGTTAATTATTAATATTATCATTGATTTTCATTATAATATAAATACATTCATTAT